AAGGCAGTGACCAAAAGCCCCTCCTGTGTTGTTTGTTTGGAGGAAAGAAAGGGTTCGGTCCCACAAACCACCTACTGTCCTCAAGGCCGAGCTGGCGCAACACTTGGCTCGTCGCAGAACGGCCTGCCTCAAAAACGATTGGCTGGCAACCACTTCGTTCCATCGGGGCTAGGTGTTCTCTGCTCTTAAATTCATGGGGGGGAGTGACGTAGGTGGGGGGGAGTGACGTAGGCACCCCCCCATTGTTTTCCTGACCCTTTCGGTGGGTTCCGTGGTATAGCAGCAAAGAAAGCCTTAAAGCCCACGTTCTCTGCAATGACACCTGCCGGCTTCGCTTCCCCCGGCTCTGACCCCACCGCGCCTGGCACCTGCAACGCCCGGTGCCGGTGTCGCAAGTGCCGCGCTTCGAGCAGGCGCCGTTCTCCCCGCAGATCCTCGCATCTCAAACTTTGGAAACCCTCCGATGGTTTCCCTTTCCCGAACCATCCCTGAAAATGGGGCCCGTCATAAAGGATCTCATGTGTGGCTTTACCCAAGGCTCCCCCCCGAAACCCTGTCCTGCCCTTGGCCGCCAGACTGAATGCCAAGCGCTGGAGGCCCGCCTGACTCCAACCGGGACAGGCGAGAACCCACTTGGACGACCACGCCGTCACCCCAGTGCCTGGTCAATGTTCGACCCTCAACGAGGTGGCTCCAAAGACCTAGCCTTTTGTCAAAACAAAAGGCCCCTGAGTCTTTTTTGAAAAATGAGGGAAGCCGTTTCATTCCTTGGTCAATGCGCAACCCCTAACCAGAGGTTTGAGTAGAGTCTACCATCGCCATAGAAACTAATTACGCGCACACACACACACACACACACACACACACACACACACACACACACACACACACACACACACGCGGGCGCGCACACAAACTGGTCACACTTGACACCAAAGCATCAAAGTACAGCAACTCACGCGGGTGCGCCCTAAAATGTGCGACTCCCTTTTTGGATGGTAGCCAAAATGAGCCTAGTTGAGTTGTCTCAGATTTCCTGACACACCCGTTTTCGCGCCCATCCCACTATTCTGACACATACATTTATTTACCATTAAATCCCCGATCGATCCAAACACCCAATTCGGGGGTTACCTGAACACAGGACGCCCTGCTTGAAAGGCCCCGATCATGACTTTGAAAACCGTCACAGCTTTCGTGATTCAATGAGATCGCATTCTCACAGAGCGACCCTCACAGCCAAACCAAAGCTGACTTGTCCGGAAGGGGCTGGTTCCCTTTAAACAGGGGTGTTTCCCTGTGGTGTCCTTTGAACAGGGCTTTGACCTGGTTCATGAACCCGCCAACAAAAAAAACATCGGAAAGGGCCAAGATAAGGGGGACCCCAAAATAGGTGCCTTCATTGTGTCCCTTTGAATCAAGCAACGAAACGGGTACCAACCAAAAAGCCACCCCCCCCCCTTTGCTCCCCGGACTGGGCCGCAAGGTTTCCGTTTGGAAAGGCATCTTTTGCGGAGCCCTGTCCAGCTATGCCATTTACAGGGGGTTGGCCCAGATAGGGCACTGGGCAGCTGTTTTCCGCCTCTCTCATTCAAAGTGGTCGTTTTGCCACCTTGTTTGAGGAACCAACAAACATTTAAACTTTAAGGGAGCAACCGAATCGCGCTGCTGTACAGTCAAAGCCCGCTGTGTGGCATGCTGAGCATGTAACGTCTTGAGCGTCACAAGTAGCACCCTAAAGCGGTCAAGCGCGCTCGTGCTTTGGAATTCCTCGATGCACCGCCCGAAGTCGGCTTCTGCTTGGCCGCTTGCACGTTCGAACATCGAAAGCCTTCAGGCGCTGCAATCAGAAACATAGTCTTGTCTCGCTTTAAACAAGAGACCACCTCTAAAGCCTCACGGATGCCATCTCTCAGCTGCCGCCAACCACCGCAGAGCGCTGTACCTTGCAGGGCCGCTCTTCCTTGAAACGCGCCGCCTCCTCAGAACCACCAGTGGTATTGCCCTCCGTGTAGCTGTGGGCGCCTGTCAACCGTGCGATTCAACCCTGCTTGAACCAAAGTGTTGTTCACAACCACTGTTGTTTGAACTCTTTGGGATTCCCTTTGGTCAGTTGTTTGAACCCACTTCGCCCAATGGCACCTGCTCCTGCCAAGCGCCCCTCGTGCACAATGAGGTACTCGTCGCGAATCGGCTTCGCAGCAAAGAAGCACTCCAAGATCTCCCGGACGCCTGCGGCCAGGGGTGGGTTCAAACCACCCAACTTCCCAAAAAACTGGACCAGGGTTGGTTGTTGAACACAACAGCAAAAGGTCTAAACAAACTCATTTTGGTTCCCCTTTAAAGGGCTTGTTAAAAAAGTTGACCACCAACCCGCCAACCCACCAACCCCCAGCAACCCCCCCACCCCTCCCCCGCCTGCGGCGTAGCGTGCCTGCGCCGACAAGGAGGTGCCCGAGACGTGGGGCGTCATGGCGTTGTTTCGCATCTGGCGCCAGACGTGGTCGCTGGGCGCCGGCTGAGGGAACCACACGTCCCCGGCGTAGCCTGAACGGACTCCGCAGCAACCCCTGATGGAGAAAAGAAACAAGGGTCCCCCCTCTCCCCCCAAGAAGAGCCAGAGACGGGTGAACTGTGTGTGGCCTTTTTGAGTGTACCCGGTTTGTATGGAAAGTTGAAAACCAGCACCCAAATTTAAAACGTCTTCCCAGCCGATTTTGACCGACTCGCCGTGACTCGCCTGCCAAATGGCCCTCCTCACAGGCCTTGGCCACTGCGGAGGCATCGCAGATCTTGCCCCGGGCGGTGTTGATGAGGTAGGAGCCTCGCTTCACAGGGTGTCGAAGCTACCCTCCCAAGAAAAACCTGGAAAAGGAAAACCGAAGGACAACCACATGTTTCGGGGGTTGACACAAGAGTCTAAATCCGTACTTCGCTTTTTGAGGGTACCCCCTTGTTTGTCGACTTGTTTTTAGAGGGGGCTCTTTAAAAAAAGCACCCAAATAATTAGAATGGGGCTCGGGACACTTTGAAACCAAGTTTAGCCCCTGATATTACCCGCCCAAAGAGAACTTTTCGGGGCGCCCCTCCAAAGCAAAAATGGTCCTCCAGGAACCCCTGTCCCAGTGCATGTTCCATGTTTTTGGGAGAGTAATCCTTTCTGTGATAAACAAGTGGGCCCTGCTAGTTTCCCACATGGCCTCGCTTCATGGAATGAATCATCTCCTCGTTGAACAAGTGCTCGGTCTTGGGGTGCAGAGGGCAGTTGATGGTCACCACGTCGCAAACTTTCACCAGCGACTGCACGGAGTCGTGATACGTCAAGTTCAGCTCCTTCTCCACGCTGTCCGGCAGGCGATGGTTGTCGAAGTAGTGCAGCACCATGTCGAAGGGCTTCAACCTCTCACCCCACGAGGAAACTCATCTAAAAAGTGGCAACCAACATGTGATGTTTAAACGGCCTGACAAGGGGCGTGTTTTCGAGGGTGCCTTTATTGCGGTTGGTTTAAAGGGAAACCAAAAGGACGACGGGTGTGTGTGTGTGTATGTGCTTGTGCGTCCCCCCTTGCGAGTGGTTTTCAAGAAAAACCAAGGCAAACTCACTTTTTTGGGGGGACTGTTTTAAGACACGCCCATATTGCTATTTTGAGGCATACCCACCTCTTGAGCACCGCGAGGCCAATGCGCCCGGCGCCCACCGTGCCCACCTGCATGCCCTCGACGTCGTAAGCACGGCTCACGCAGTCCGCAATGTGCCAACCCCCGCTCTCCGCGATTTGGTGCCCCGGCACGAAGCTCCGCACCAGGTTCAAGACCGACATCACCTCAGCTCAGTGGAGTTTGGCGGAAAAAGGCGCCCTGGTTTTGTTGGTTGATGTTTACATGGGACAAAAGGGTGGAAATTTGAAGGCTGATCTTAAAGGGAAGCCTTTTTCTGTTGCTTGATTTTCATGAAAAAAACTGGAACAACGAGCGGACTACGCTGCTTGCAACTGGGCGACCACGTGCTCCGCCACAGAGATGGAGTTGCAGAAGGTGACCTACGGTCAAAAACATGCGGGTTTGTCAAGAGGATGTAGAAATGAATTAGGGTTGTCTCCCTGCTCCTGATTCTTGTGGGCAAGATGGAGCTCATCCCCCATGTCCCTCCCAAATCTATAATGTCGCGCAACTGGAAGGTCGTTTCTTGGACGTTTAAAATAAAACAGGTAGCTCGTTGACCTCCCCCACATCCCTCCCAAATCTACAACGCACTTCTACATTTTAAAGTGTTTAAAAGCAGGCGGACCATACAAACGTGGAATCTGGAAATTTAACGCCCGTGAAACCAGGCAGAGCCCACTCTGGCCCGTGGGTTGGGCGCCCACCTCGGCCACGGTGACGTTGTGGCGGCACGCGGCGGCCAGATCCACGTGGTCGCTGCCGATGCCCGCGGTGAGGCACAGCTTCAGATTCTTGGCTTTTTCGAAGCGCTCCGCGCTCCTTCCATTTGGTTAAGAAAACAAACACAGTAGTCATAGATTCCCTTTAAAACCAACAGGGGAAAATAAGAAATATTCTTAAGAACATGGAAGGCTCATGTAGGCGGGCCAGAAGGGCTGCGAGATCACCACGTCGGCATCCGGCAGCTCCTCGAGACTGTGGGATGAAAAAGAACATGGCGCCCTGCTTTGGTGGATCTTCAAGGGAAATCTGTCCCAAAGAAAGACGAAAAAAAGCTATTCCTGGGGACTTTCCAAGAGGAGGATGTCTGTTTGGCGCTCCTGCCAAACTGAAAGAAAATAATATCATATCCAAAAGATAACGCGCCAAACAACACATTCCCCGGATGTCCACGCCGCTGTCCTGTTCGAAGACGGAGTCAGGCCCATCCTTCGAGGAGGTCACCACGAAGTTGTGGCCCTGGGCCTCCAAAAACTTCCGCAGGCCCAGGGCCCCAGTCACCTCAGCGAGTTCCGGGTTGGAAAACAACGGGCACCCGTCTGTTGGTGGATTCCAAAAGGGAAGACTTCAAAAAACACGAAGGAACCCATCCCAAAAAAAGTGGTTTCAACAAATGGAACCCAGAATTGGCACCCAGTTGGGGGAGAGGGTGGCAGTCCCAGACCTGCAGTGGATGTTTGGTTGGGAAGTCATCCCAAGAAGGGAAGCTGGGGTAAGCGCGTCCCAAGGCTTGGTGCTATAGTCGTCATTGTAAAGGGCAACCTATCCCCCCCAAAAAAAAAGGCTTGCTGGTTCTCAGGGAATGAGTGAAACCCCTATCGTATGGTTTCCTTTGAAGGAATTCCCAGCTTTTACAAAACGGGTCGTTCCCGAACTGAGCACCGGTTGCTGCCAAGGTCACCGAGCCCAGCAGATGCCCTGGGGTGAAGTCCACCGCCGAGGGGCTGGGCGTGGTCTGGCCCCCTGGGTATGCCTCGTGGTTTGGGTTGTTGGTTTGGAGGCGGTTGCCCTAGGTCGGTGGTTTGGGGTGGTTTGGGGTGGTTTGGGTCGGCGGTTTTTGAACCCACCTGATAACCACCAACTGGGGGGAACCTCACCTGGCTGGGTTCTAACAATTGAGCTGCTTTCGGATGCTACACAGATTGTCCCTTGGTGCAAGCGATCAGAAGTCGTTTATTGGAACCCGTCGAATGGGTCCCTGATTTCCGGGCCCATCACTGTATCGCTGTGAAAGTGGAAACATGGGTATCACAGAAGCTGGCAACCTACGTGTCTTTGTACGGAGGCCTTGATCTCAGGGATGCTGTCACGGGCGTAGGAAGTGGGATAGCTGGGATAGCCCTCCTTGGGATCCTCGTACAAGACGCACAAGACCTTCACCATGGCGTGCGTCGAGGGTGAGCGCGTAAGCTGAGAGTCTCGAAACGGCTGCTGAAACACTGTTCTCAAAGTCGCCCCGAAATCCGTCCCTTAGGAGTCTCCTTTTGGGGGACCTCGTTTTTGGGCTCCGTGTTAATTTGCGAAGAAGCATATGGCAACATGTTCAGAGTATGTATCGGCATTGGGGGGGGGGGGGAATATCCGCCTGCGGCATAGCCGCGGGTGGCATAGCGCCTGCCGGCATGGCGCCTGGCTGCATCTGGGACAACCTCGGCAAGCTTGGGTGAATGAAGAATCAGTCACCAACCCAAGAGTAGTCCCCATGAAAAAATGTTCATCCTGGGCCCCGTTTGCCCAGGCATGATCGATGGAGCAAGTACACAGGAGCACAAAGGAAAACCACAAGGAGGCCAAGCTTTCGCTTGGCAGGAGTCAGGACTCCTCATACAGACAGCAAGGCGTTGAGAACACTTATATCTCTTGTGCAGCACACCTTTCTTTAGGACATTTGATGTTCAACATTTGGCGCTGCAAAACAGCCTCTACCCTTCACAAGTACTATGTTAACCATGGGGGAACAGGGTCCATTCAGCCACCTCCTCACCTGGTCAAGGGTGAATTCGCGTCCCAAAATGCCGCCACTTCACCCAAGTTCCAGCCCAAAACGAAACTCCCAAGTCCCCAGCAGCCCAACTTTCCCAAATTTCACAGTTCCTCTCTGGGGCCACGGCCCCACGCTTGCGCTTGGCGCCGGCGCCGGGTTGAAGTCCAGGCCGATGCGCGGCTCGGGGCCCAGCTGCGCGTCCAGCGCCCGGTCCGCGCGCACGCCCCCGAGGAAGCCGAAGCGATCTGCGGAGATGTTTCGGTCGAACTGGGGAGCTCAGGTTTTGGGGGGCGGGATGTTTGACTGGAATTCCGCGCTGGAGTTGGCTTTGGGAAGAAGGGAAACACACATGTTCTGGGAACCAAAGGGTAGGGTCCCTGAAAATTCACACAAGGAGCACCCAAAACACGTGCGCATGGTGTTTTGGGAGTCCGTGTTACATTTTGAGGCGATCAAAATGGCGTTCGAGGTCAGCCTTCAAACCACGGTTTCTTGTGCCATTTGTGTTCTGCGTAAAGGTGGAAGCACTGTGGGGTTTCGGCTTTGGCCGTGTCTGGCTTTTTGATTGGACAAGTGACAAGGGCTCTTGGCGGATTCTCTAGGGATCGAGCGGAGGTTTCCTCCTCCTCACTACATAGGGCCTACTGCTGCCCCACTAGTGCCTGAGCCCGTGTCAAGTTGGCACTTGCACCCATCAGTCTAGGAATCGAGCATGCAGAACTTGAACGAAACGACATGGCTCTCATGATATGTCGAAACCACTGGAGGCGCAGTTGCAAGTGGCTGGAAATGGAGTCTTCCAGAGAACCTGTGCCAAAATCAGTGTGCGCAATTGCAGGGTTGTGCCAAGTCCTTGTTTGAACATTACCTCCTTGCACGCGGACCTGATTCTGGCGAAAACAAAGTTGCCCAACCCTGCCTTTGACTTTGTCGCCTTCTTGGGATTGGGACCCAAAAGAAAAACGCTTCTCTCTTTTGGGGGTTGGCTTAAACGGAAACCAACAAGAAGCGACCTTTCCTGGGGGGCCCCTGAGCCTTTCTCAAGCCGCCCGATAACCCGCACCTTCCCCGCCCGCATCCGCCGGCGCCCCGTCGGCTGTGACGAGGCCCGGGGCAAAGTACCGGCGCCCGCAGTCGGGGCCCGACCACCCGGCACCGCAGGCGCACACGCCGTTGAGGCACAGGCCTAGGACAATCGCAATGCAGAGGGCGGGGGGGGAGGGGGGGCGGGGGGTATTTTGAAATGGGGAGGTTTCTGGAGCCAAGAAGAAATGCGCAAGGAAATCCAACAAAGAAAACAAACCGAAAGGAAACAAACCGAAAGGAAACAAACCGAAAGGAATCAAACCGAAAGAAAACCGAAAGCAAACCGCAAGGAAGCCAAAAGGAACCAACGCACACTTAACTTAGTTGGGGTTTTGACAAGGAACCCGGACCCTCAAAATGGGTGGTTCTTCTTTTGGCACAAACAGGATACCCATATGCAGCCGACCAAGATTGTGCAGCCCTTGACTTGGAAAGCACGCAGAGTGGCCGCATTGCTGTTGCGACGCAGAGCCTTTTGGGTTCTCCAAATAGAGGCCCGCTGGGTGACACGACTTACCGTCATTCAAATGGAGAAAGCATCAAGGGCCAACGTGCCTCAAGCGACCATGGCACCAGTGCGAAGTCACACCTCCACTTTTGGCTTACCCCACCGTGACTGAACCCGTACAGTTCTGTGCGTCTCAACGTTGGAAGGAACACTCAGCAAGTGTGCCATCGTCAAAACTCCTTGCATGGTTCGTGGTCCTGGTTCTCTTGCCGGAAATCCAGACCATGGTTGTCGTAAAATCCCCACTATGGCACAAATCAGCTTTGCAGGGCTCAATAATCGATATGTGCCTCTCAAATGAAACTGCTCTGTTTGATCCTTCCAGAAGTGAAAGATAGACACCGTGGGACTACCTCATGCCAACAAGGTGTCCACTTAAGGACCAGGGTCCCTTGGGGAAAGCGGTCTTGGACCTTCCCGGTTCGGTTTAATGACCTCACTTTGGACCGGAAACATCGAGCTGTAAGGAACCCGATTTAGGACACTTCTGGTCCCAAGCAACGCTCTGTGTATGTCTGTGCACCTCCATGCCTGGGGACCAAGAACGCCAAGTTTTCAGATCCACGAATCCGCGAATCCGCGAATCCGCGAATCTGCGAATCCGCGGCGAGCGCGGGCCAAGGGGCCATGGAAGTTGCAGTGCTGAGGGCAGCTGGCGATGGCCAGGGAGCAGTCGCCCCCTGCCCGACCGTCCACTTGGAAGATCCTTGAGTCCTTGAGTGATTCTTCAGGGATCCTGGAGGGGTTCTCCTGGGGTTCTCAAACAACCTCCCGAAAGAAACTTGCATGGATACTTTCCACGACATGGAACCTGCCAGCGGGTTCCTTGTGGAGCAAGATTGGCTTCAACTTCCGGGTACCCTCCTACAGGCTATGTTTGTGGGAAGGGTAGATGGACAGGGGAGCTGGAATTTATGGGCCATAACATCGGTATAATCAAGTCAATGTCTACAGCGACATCTGACACGGAAGGGACGCCCAGGCTGGATTCAACGTTTAAGAACTCTGTCCCACCGACATGAACAAAACAGATTCAAACAGCGCCAGTCCTCTCTCAGTCCCACATGCCAAGCCCTTGTATGTACCCAGACCATCCTACTAAACTATCAAACCATGGATCCCTTGCCCATACTGGTGGCAAGAAACTTGAGCAAACTGAAACCTGTAATCTGCTTCCTTGCAACATTGTACCAATCTGCAAACATCTGAACAAACCGACCACAATCTGTCCAAGTTGTCCCGCAACACTGGCATGATATCCGGCACATTGCGCGCTGCGCAGTGAATTGCGCAAGCTAAGTTCCAGAAGGCTGCATGCAGGAACTTTTCCGCCAACACACAGCAATCGACCGGACATGTCAAGCATCGTTCAAGATATCCCATGTTTCTCCACCAACACGTGTTCCTTGCCTCGGTGTTGTTCTGGGAAAAATGGATGGCATCGAACTGCTAGAACCAAACTGAAAAGTGGAGACAAAATGTGTATATATATATACACACACACATATGGAGTCCTCCGGCGGCTTCCTTGCAGCCAAAAGCTGTTGCCAAGAATCAAAGCCCACTTTGCCAAGTTGCCTGAAAGGGCTGTGTGTCCTTTGGTTTGGGTTGCCCCCCCTCCTTTTCCCGCGGCCAAGCGCCCTCCAATCCTCTTCCGGCGGCTTCCTCCAACCCCTGCCCCATTCCCTCCCCCCGCCTGTGTACCCCTCCTCGCACACGCAGCTTCCGGTCACCGCATCGCAGAGCCCGTGCTGGCACTTGGGCTCGCAGGTGCCGGTGGGCACCCCGCAGCTCGGGCCGCCCCAGCCCTCCTGCGACAAGCCCAGCCCAAAAAAAGCCGTGAAATGCCGCGACATACGACTGGTCCCCGAAAAATGGGGGTGGGGGGTCCCAAAAGGTCACAGGTCACAGGTCCCAAAAGGTCACAGGTGAGAAAGTGCTGCTTGTCTGTTCCTTGGGTTCTGCTCGTTTGGCACGTG